AGCTTAAATCACTGGGATTGTTCCTAGTCTAGAAAGGTTCTGAGAGTGGCCAGCAGCTCCAGAGAGCCCCTCGACCTGGTCCTGCCCTGGTGGCAGGAGCCCCCGTGCCATGGGGGCTGGGCCAGGGGCCTGGCCCCTTAATCAGTAGCCTCTAAGGTGGGGAGCAGAGAAGGGAGTGGGTGGGGGCCAGAACCGGGCTGTTTGGAATCGAGAGCTGCTTGGGGACATGCACACTCAAGAGTCTTGCTTTCTTGATCCTGAAGTGATTCAACCCTGGGAAGCCACACCTCGCGGCCTCGTGCGCAAAGCTCCGAATGCTGGTGAACCCCTCAAATCAGCCAGCAGAGAGCCGAGCACTGGAGGCTGAGCCCTGCGGGGTCTGTCTCCCCCGCCTGTCCTGCTCCTCTCCCATTGTCTAAGTCACTCCCACGGCCGCACCCTCCCTTTGGAGACCCTTCCAGAGCTCTGCACGCAAGGCTCCAGGGCCGTCATGATAGGGGTCAGCCCACGTTCAAGTGGGAACGAGTCAGAAAGGCGAGGCTCATACCTGCGCTTCACGCGTGCGGCCAGAAGGAAGCGAGGGGCGGGGCGGGGGAGAGCAGCCCACGGCCGCGCCATCTGTCCCCCCACAGCGCGTATGATGAGCCGCTCGGTCCAGTGCCAGCCAGTGATGGACGGCTCACTGCCTGCCAGGCGGGTGGGCCTCATGAACCCTGTCCTCAGTCGGAGAGACTCCTGACTTGGTCTCGTTCTTCGATTTCCAATCAATGGCTGGTGCTTCACGCTCCTTGAGAAGCGCCTTAGGAGTTTCCCGTGGGTGCGGGGGAGCTGACCCTTCCGTCCTGGGAGAGACTGGGTGTGGGGGGCCTGGCCCCTCTGTCCTGGGAGGGACTGGGTTTTGGGGGAGCTGACCCCTCTGTCCTGGGGGAGGCTGGGTGTGAGGGGAGCTGACCTCTCTGTCCTGGGGGAGGGGGGCAGCTGGGGCTACCTGAGCCCCAGGCCCATCTGGTCCAGCAATAGGGGCATGCTGTCTGCATAGGAAGGTGTGAAATGAGTGGGGGCTCTATAGTATCGACTTGACTCAGCTGCCCTTACTTGTACCAGGCGCCATTGGGGTGACCTTGAGAAAAGCCCTTAGCCTCTTAGTATGAACTTCCACCTTTTAAAAACGGGATGCCTCTGGAAGACGTCGGCCTCTGACCAGACCCCCTCCTGCGCCGTCGCTAACCCGCTCCCGGGCTATTCTCCAAGGCCAGCCGGTGGGGTTCGGCACAGTCAGACAGGGCTCGCGGTGCGGAGCATGTCCGAGCCCTGTGGTCTGGCGTCTGAGCTGACAAGCTTCGTGGGAAAACCCGAGGCTCTGCCGAAATGGTTTGTGTAAGAGGCAGGAGAGTGTGTGCACCCAGGGCTCTGGGGTCGGAGCAGGCGATGTGCTAGCCCGCGGGCCGGTCCGAGCAGTGAGCCGGGGCGGGGGGCAGGCGGCAGCAGGGGGCGGAGGGGGCTCCCCGTGGAGGCTGACCTCGCAGGAGCAAGGGTGTGTGGAGGAATCCGATTTATTCTAACAGAGAAGCAAGGCTCCTGTCTGTAGCCAGGCTCGGCCTTTCTTAAGGACGCCAAACCTCGCCCCCACACCCTGAAGGGCTTCCGGCTATGAACCGTGAACTCGAGGGCTGAGTGTCTTTGTGCTTGTCAGGGCCGCTCCAGGAGCCCGAGTCCAGATGTGAGCAAAGCCGACTCCCCTGGGGGAGGCGTGGGTGGGCTCCATGCACGGACGGGACAGCTGGGGTGGGCTTAGTCCCTTAGAACCCTGCTGGGACCCATCACACCAAATCCGTTCTCTTCTGAGATTCTGTCCATCCCACAGGGGAAGACACAACCGGCTCCCCTGAGCAAATTTAATGAGGATAAAACAGCCCAGTTCTGTGACCTGTTGGAGTCTAACCTTGGACGGATGAGCCCACTGACCTCCTGTCCAGCTGCCCTTGTCCCTGGCCTCCCCCGTCTACACTGGATGCTAGTGGTAGTGGTGGGGAGGTGGGGGGCTCAGGCGCTGTGGTCTTTTCCCGAACCAGTTAGTTCATGACGCACCGCATTTCGGGAGGGTCTGTAAGCTCCCTCCCGCCTTAGGGCTGGTCCAACAGAGGAGCAGGGAGGGGACCGCCCCCCATTCCCAGGTGGGCCCCCCTTCCCGGGGGCAGGGAGGCGCTGGGACACCAGGACGGCACAAAGCTGTAAATCCTCCTTGGCAAATCACGGAGAGCAATTTGCTTCTCATTCCACTGACTTCCGCCTTCCCCAGTAAAAAGAAAGGTAATTTTCTGCCTTGGGTTGTATTTATTACTAAAGTTATCAGGCCCTGTAATCAGTATTAACATCACCGTGAAAAGTAATACAAAACTAATTACTAGCTAAACTGAATTAGATACACGGCCACTGCCAGCCAGGCTGACAGGCAGAGGAGCCAATTTTTGGCTCTGAAAGGAGCACCGAAGACGTTCCTCACACTCTGAAAGCAGCCGCTGTAGGGCCCTCCCCATGGCGGGACCCCCCGACCGTCCAGGCGGCTTGGCCCCTGGGCAGCAGGCGGGAAGCAAAGATGTCCGTCCCTTCGCTTTCCAGGTGGTCACAGGCATGAGAAACTTGCCAGACCCTCCGGCACAGGGTTAATCCCAGCAAGGAGGGTGACTGTCGGCTGGGTGTCCCGAGTCCCACTGCCCGCCAGGAGTGCCATCCGGATCTGCAGGGGGCAAGCCCAGCGATCCCGTGCGGCATCCTCATGGTCCAGCCGAGGACCCCGAGGCTGGAGGGGACGTAGCTGAGTGACAGAGCCCTGGTGCGCCCCAGATCTGTCTGCCACCTGAGACGCCGGGCTCATGTTTCTGTTAAGGTGGAGAGGAAGCGTGCAAAGCAGAGGGAAAGGCTCAAGGTCATGAGCGGCAGCCAGAAGGTGCCTGGAGCCATCGAGCCAGACCTGCAGACCTTTGCAGAGCAGCCCTGGGGCGTCTGGTCGGCCGAGTCTCCAGCGGCCGGCCCCGTGCTCTGACCTGGAAACTTAGCTTTCGAAGGGGAGCAGCAGAGCTCCGCAAACATTTTGGGGTGGTGCCCATGTTGTGGTCTCCTTCCTACCATGAAGGGTGGCGGCCTCGAGCAAGTCGCCATCCCTGGGGGCGTCTGGGAGAGCGCACCCAGGCCCCACCCCTCAGTCCTCCGGGGAATAACGCGAGTTGTGAGGAGGTTGCTCTGCACGTCCTTGTGGGTCCCAGCATCTGCCTGAGGGCTGAGTCCGAGAAGCCGCGGAACACACAGACACACTCCGCCAACGCTGCTCGTCGCGGATGGGCCGGCAGTCCCAGTGGCACCATGTGAGGCTTTGGGCATCACACATGAAGCCCCGGGGGAGGAGGGACCAGACCCTGCTAACACCAGCTCCCCTCCCTCTGGGCCCGGGTTGAACCTTAGGACAATGGCCAGATGACAGAGGGTGAAGGTGCCTTCTTTGCTCTCGGGCAGGGTTTAAAGACTCGAGCTTTCCAGCCCGCTTGCTCTGATCTGGGCGACAGGGTTGGTCCTGTGTGGTCCGTATGCAGGGTTTAAAGACACCTACAGCCCATGGGTCAGTCGGGAGGACAGCGGGCAGCCTCGGGGCAGCCTGGGGAGAGGCGGACGGAAGCCCCATCTGCAGCCCCGCTCCGCGATCAGCAGCCCCGCTCCCGTGGCACCAGCGAGCACGGCAGAGACTTCTCCGGGTGCGAGATGGCTCTCGAGTGTGGCTCTGGGAAGAAAGCAACTCCCACTTGTTTCAAGTGATGCTTGGGGTGTCTGGGGGTTGAAGAGAGAACAGAGGTGTGTTCAGACATGTTATAAATAGCGAGCTCAGCCCGCAGGGTGTTGGTGTTAAATCTGACAGCAGAGCGGGATTCGGAGCAGAAACGGGGATGGGCTTTCAGAAACAAACCCCGCCCGCGGACGTGAGTCCCTGGGCTCCTGCCCTGCCCCGTGCACCCCGGCTCCAGATCTCCGGGCAGCCCAGCCTCCAGTCCTTGTCCTGTGGACGCAGAGGCAGGGGCAGGGGCAGGTCAGCTGCGAGAGGGGAGCGGGGAGAGGGTGCCGGGGGCATGGCATCGAGGGACTTTCTTTCTCCGGAGACAACCCTCCCTCTGTTGGAGCTGGCCAGGCAGCGTTCTGAGGCCAAGTCCGGGCCCAGCGGGCAGAGGGTCCTAATCTCCAAGGGCAGAGCGCGGGCTCTGGAAGGGAGGAACGTGTGGCAGAGCCCAGGTCCTGCTTTAAGCGAGTGGCGACTTCTGGGGGCCTCCGCCTCCACCACTGGACTGAGCGTGGACTCGCGGATGTTTCCATGACTCCGTCACCTTCCGATCCACGTCAGGAACCGTGAGCTCGTGTCAGGATCACTGATTGACTCAGTAGAAACGAGCCCGTCCTTATCAATCAGTTACAGGGACTTCCCTTAATGGACAATGGGAAACAGTGATGTTCGTGAGGGATCCCCGAAAACCACGAGCTCAGCCCACAGGGTCCTGCAGAGTTATCTCGTCTGGGCTCTTCGAAGGGCCTCTCCCAGAAGTGGACCCCATTTCCGCTGGGCAACTAGGAGGACGTGCAGCCGTGGCCTCCCGGTCTGGACGCAAGCCCATCTGAGGCAGCGTTTATGAAAGCGGCATAGAACTTTCCAGAGCGGGAGCAGAGAGTGTGGGGGGCAACAGGGAGGGGCCATGGGCAGCCAGCTCTCAGGACTGAGGGCTGGAAGGGGGTGTCGTGGCTCAGGGAAGAAGCAGGCCCGGGGACAGCTGTGGGTCACAGAGCACCCCACCCCCCACGGGGCTGGAAGAGACACCGTGAGTCCCAAAACCTCAGAGGAGTTTGAGCCTGCATGGCCGGTGGAAGGAAGTGGCCTGGGAGGAGGCTCGGCACCGGGTCGGGCCAGCTCCCTGCAGCTCAGTGAGTGAACTTCCTGCGGCGGCAGCTCCCAGGAGCGACCGAGCATGTGTGGGGCAGGCTGGTGGCGGCTGGTGGAACCCTGGACTGGGTCTTCTGGACCCGCTCCGGACATCCTGTCCCGGTGGTCGGCCAGAGAGCAGAGCGTCCTCAGCAAAGTGCACGTCAGGCCTTTCCACACGGCCCAGCCCCACAGCGGCTATGGCCAGAGCCCCCCGCCGCCCACAGAGGGCCCGGCAAGTGCACGGGGCTGGGCCAGGAGGGCCCCCCCTCCTTGGGAAAGGGTGTGAGGAGCGGTGACCCTGTCCACCGCCGTCCCGCCGGGGTCGAGCCAGAGGCCATGGAGGGCGCAGAATAAGGGGATGCTTGCGTTGGGCTGCCCGTGGTGGGCTTCCATGGCTGCTGGGTCAGGTCACCCGTGGGCTCCTCCCAAGGTGCCCAGCCCCAGACCAGACCCTTACCCTGCTGCAGGGTGTTCTTCCCAGCAGGAAGCAAGTGGAAAGGGCGCGTACGGGCTGGAAGGAGCAGAAGAAGCCCTGCATGGACCCCCTCCCTGTCTCCCACGTCTGTCTTCCCTCTTCCCCCACCCCAGCTACGTGCAGAGAGCTTGAGAAAAATGAGCAGGGTTTCCTAACAGCAAAAGAGCATCCAAACTTGGTTCTTTGGGGGTGTCCCTTGGCTCCGACCTGAGCAGAGTGGACCCGTGTTCTGTCTATGGCACGGAGATGCCCCGAATTCCTCCCCGCTGGCCACAGGGATGCAGTGGGCCTTCGTCAGGTCGTGCTCTGCACCCCCCAGGTGCAGTCCCCTAGAAGAGGGACGCAGCTCTCAGCAGGAGGGTCCTTCCACAGGCACGTCAGGTCGGCCTTCCTGAGAGCTCTGAAGCCCTGGGCCCTTGAGGCCAGCGTTCTTGTTTTCATGTGTGCTGGTGAACTTGCAGAGTTCACCAAGGTCAAGGCTGCAGGATAGAGACCTGGCTGGTCCCCTCAATTCACATGTTGACATCCTAACCCCAAAACGTGATGGCACTGGGAGGCGGGGCCTTCGGGAAGCCCTTTGGGAGGCACTCTGCCGACATGACAGGCCTAGTGCCCCAGATGTGGTGAGGAGGCAGCCCCCCCAGAACACAACCACACCAGCCCGCGCTCTCGGACGCCCAGCACCCCCCCCGCTGTGAGCCACAAATATCTCTTGTTTACAAGCCGTCTGCCGGTGCTGCTCTGTCACGACGACGGGAGCAGACGCCATGACAACAGTCGGGCGGAGGGCCACCATGTTTTGGGGCTTGGTCCTGGGAACGGCAGGCGCCCCAGGTGACCTTGGACAGGTCTCGTCATCTTTCTGAGCCTGACCCAGTGAAAGCATCGCCCAGGGGCGTCCACCATGATGAAGGGACGTTGCGCCCCCGGCGTGAGGGTGTCCGGGGCTCCGCGCCTGCTCCGTTAGTGCTCCGGGGCTCTGCCGCGTTGTGAACCTAAGTGAGGTCTTGCTTCGAGGGAAATCGTGCGGAAACTGGGATTTAAGTTCCTCCTCAGGAGCATGTGGGGTTGGCCGGTGCCAGGGTCTGTGATCCAAATGCCTCATTCTTCAACGATTCATAGTTTGCTTTGGGAAATACGGTGCGGCCGTCTAAATCAGATCACACTTGCTCGAGGCTTCTCGGATGACCCTCTCCAGCGCACGAGGAGCCGTCATCTCTCCTACTGACTCATGGAGTCCGGCCGCTGGAGAGGACTTTGGTTTGGGACTGGATGAGTCGGAAGTGACTGCCCTCCAACCTCCAGCTCATCAGAGCAGGGGTGCAGGGCAGAGAGACAGGGGTGCATGCCAAGGTGATGGGGTGCAGGGCAGGAGGGCAGGGGAGCAGGGTAGGGGGACAAGGATGCAAGGCAGGGCAGCAGGGCATCAGAGGTGCAGGGCAGGGGATACCGTGGCAGGGGTGCATGCTAAGGTGGAAGGGGTGCAGGGCAGGGAGGCAGGGGTGCAGGGCAGGGAGGCAAGAGTGCATGCCAAGGTGATAGGGGCACAGTGCAGGGGGCGGGGGTGTAGGGCAGGGGGTCAGGGGAGCCAGGCAGGGCAGCAGGGGAGTAGGGCAGGGTGGTGGGGGTGCATGCCAAGATGGTAGGGGTGCAGGTCTGAGCGGCAGGGATGCAGGCTGCCAGTGAGTCAGGAGCAGGGCTGTACCCGCTGCACACCCCTGTTCTGTCTACACACACCGTCTGGGAGGGAGGGACGTGAACGATGCCTCTGTCCACTTCTTTATAAACACCGACAAGGAAGAAAGAGGTGGAGAGGAGGGGCTGAAAGGCTTCTGGCTGGGTGGGGGCTGGCTTCCCCCCGACCTCCCAGGGCCAGCTCTGCTCCTGAGCCGTGCAGGAACTCCGAGGCACCGTCCGCATGTGGCAAACCCGGTACGAGTAACCCAGAGCCGCGTGTTTAAAAACCAGCCTCCCAGCCATGACTTGGGGGGGGGGTGCCAGAAACCCTCCCCCCAGCTCGCCAACGTGACTGCAGAGGGGGTTTCCCCAGGCCAGCCCAGTGCTGTGCCCAGGGTCAGAGCGAGTTCCAGGCAAGCGGAGCAAAGCTGCTCAGCGGTCCCCAGACCCTCCTGCCTGTGCCGGTCCCTCGGACGGAGCATCATCTCTGTCATCTCCACTGGCCTGGGCTCCGGTCTCTCCAGGGAGGAGCCTGGCCAAGTTGGTGTTCTAAAGGTTTAGAGTGCCAACTGCAAATCCTTACGGACATCACTGACATCAAGTGAAATCAGATGTTCTTTTTGTCGTTGCCTAATTCTTGACATCTGCGCATCTGGAGTCTCACCGCCTGAGAACGAGGCTCTGCTTGACGGGCGCTGTTTCTGTGCCCAGGCAGGACCGCTTCAGCCTCTGCGTGTCTGTTAGCAGCAGCAGCAGCTCTCAGGAGGGGTGGCCGAGGTCTCGGGGGGGGGGGGCGTACACTTAAACCCTGATGGCTCAGTGGAGGGCCCTCCTGGGTACATTCTGTCTGCTGCCAAGCAGGATACCTCCCCGCGTGCCAAGGCTGCACCTCCACTAACCGTCCAGTCTTTGTAATACCTGCAGAGAAAACAGACAATCACAATTATCAAACCCATTTCATAGATGGGGAAACTGAGGCACAGGAGGACTATTGCCCTGGCTAGTGTCTCCCAGCCGGTGGCCGGCTGTCCGCCCTGAGTCTGCATTCTCATTCTCGGCACTGAGTGGCTCATCCGTGATGCACCCTCTGGCCAGGGCGTGTCCTCGGTTGTGGTGCCAGCAGTCTGCTCTGGCACGGGGACAGTTTCTGTCCGGGGCCATACAGCGCTCTGTCCCCGTGTCTCGGCCTTGTCCCGGGCTCGGTCCACAGCACGGTGTCCCCGTGTCTCACAGTAGCAGGTTATAAGCAAGTACGTGCAGCTTCTAGGGCCTGAGAGTTTGTAGATGGGGTTGAGTTCGACCAGGAATTCTTCCCACCAAGTTAAGGGGCCACTGTCTGCAGGGGCATCTGAGTGTGTGATTTGGGCTCCGAATCCGTTCGTCATGTGCCAGCAGAGGAAGGAGGCAGAGCACTGGTCGCCTCCCTGGTGACCTGGTGCCACCCTGGGCTCCCTGGTGCCACCTGGCTCCCCTGGGCTCCGCGGAGCCTGCAGTACCAGCACACGCTGGGAGATGGCGCCCTTCCCCAACGCTTGGAACTGGCCGCCCGCACTCCCGGTGTTCCTCAGCGAAGCCAATCAGGAAACCAACCCTCCCACCGGGTCTCACCCCGCACTCAGGCCAGGACATTCCTGGCTGTCATCAAGTCCCCTCTCTGAAAGGGGACGGAGCAGAGTGAAGCTCCCGGGAAGGCGGTGCCCATCTTCCGGGGGCCCCAGGAAGGCTGGCCCCTCGCAATCCCCTTTCAGAAGGGGGTTTATTCTCACCCAGGCAGCAGCGATCTGGGGAATTCTTTGCTTCCCAGAGGGCTGGGACAGCTGGACAGGGACTGGAGGAGGTGCCTTTCACCCCTTGGAAGCTTCCTGCGAGGCTAAAGCCCTGTGCAGGGGTGCGACCCAGTCAGCCCCGGGCGTCCGAGACTCGCACGTGTCCTGGCCTGATGCTGCTGAAGGCCGGGCACTTGAGCTAGAATGCCCGGCCCCTCTCCCCCAGCACCAGGGCTTGGGAGCACCACTCGCCCCCCAACCACAGACCCCAAGGCCCCCACCCAGGGCCATGCTCCTCGAGGGCAGGGCACCTTTAGCTCTCCGGCCAAGATGCCTGAGCCACAAACTTGCACCCAGCTCCTGCCCTGAGAGCTGGGCCCTGCACCCCTCCTGCACACACGGACCCCTCCCACCCACACCCAGGAGCCCATGCTGGTGGGTGCCAGCCACTGCCACGAGACCCTTTCTTCCCAGAGGCATTAGAGCACCCACCCCTGCTCCCAGAGAGCCCTCCCCTTTACACTTCTTTCCCTCTCCCCCGGGGCTGGGGCAGGAGACCCCCTCCCAGCTGGGCTTCAGGGGGCAGCAGGGCTGGCCTGGGAAGCGTGGAGCCACCCCCAAGCAGGTCCCCAGCAGCCAGAGCTGACCGCCTGCTCTGGTGGGGGGTGGTCCGAGAGGGATGCCCAGGCCTGACTCAGCCGGGAGGGTAGCCAGGGCGCACCGATCTGGACAGCCGGGCCACCGAGGCGCAGGCGGATTTCCGGACTCCGGGGCGGTGGTCAGCTTTCCTCCCTGAACACCCGTCTCAGCCCCTCGGCGGCTGGGGTTTGCAGGCCTCGCTGCCAGCAGCCAGGGGGCGGCGGGGAGCCGGAGCGGAGAGGAAAAATCCACCCATTTCCTGGGCAGATTGCGTCGGCCGCCGCCCGGCCGTGTCCCCGCCTCCCGGCCGCGGCCCCCGCGCGCAGCCCGCGCGGCGCTCAGAGCCGGAGCCGGAGCCGAGCCGGCGGCGGGGCGCGGGCGCGGGCGCAGGGCGCGGAAGGGAGGCGGCACCGCGGACACCGGGCGGCGGGCGGCGGGCGGCGGGC